GACACTGCAGAAATCGCATAAATCGTCGTCGCTCTTCTCCGATTCCGTAACTTCCTCTTCTTCTTCTCCATCACCGCCTCCTCCTGATCGTTGTCTCTTCCCTTTCCAAATCGACCCAACCTCCAAAATCTTCAAAACCCAGTTTCCGTTCTCCGACAAAACGGCGTCGTCTCTCACCGTTCCTTTCCTTCTCTTACCACCGATCCGAAGAAACTCAAACGGTCGACGTGAAACCCAACGCGATCCAGTCGTCGATTTCTCCTCCACAGAGCGACCGATCGAACGTATCAACGACGGTCCCACCGGAATCTTCGGAGATACTCCTTGCACCGACATTTTTAAGAAAACACCATCCATGTTAATAATTTCCCTCTTCCTTCTTCTTATTCGTTCTTTATGTTAAAAATGGACTATAGATCCGTATACGTATACGGATGCGTATTATCCAGGTGCCGGAAATTTCCGGCGTTAACGTGCAAGTTAGAATGAAATCTGTCGTCGTTTTTTGGTCTCTTCTCAGTCTTCTTGTCCGATCAATCTTCCTTTTGACAGAGATGTTTTGTATATGTAGAAAGCAGGTGAACGAACCTTAATGCGGCTTAATTTAAGAAAATAATTCCTTTGGGGGTTTAATTTGATGGTTAATACTATATGCTCGATTTATTTTAAGGTATTTTATAATTGATGGTTTAATTTCATTAAGATCGTAGGGTTAGGATCTTATGGTTGAGCGATACTGAGGACACGTGGAAGGTGAAGTGTAAAAGCATGACTTTCCCACGTTTCTTGGAACAATATCAGGTGCTTGATATTGTTGCGACTTTCATTCACAACAAACTTAACCTAACTTCGTCGCCTAATTAATAAGAGGACCCAACTGTTATTTATATTTAGAAAATAATCAAGACTTTTTCTGTACTCAAGAGGAAGAAAGAGTATTACAATTTCAGAAAATAAATCCAAAGCTTTTATATGATTTATTTATAAAATATGCACTAATTTGCCCGATTATATCAAATGCAGTAAGCAAAAAAATAGAGAGAAACCAAAACAGAAAAAAGACAAATTGGTCAAAACCATAGCTTAAGGCAAGTGATTTCTCTCATAACCAATCTATTCTAAGTTTCTAACCAAAACATGGCTCAAACGTTTGCATGACACTAGAAAACCATGTCCACTAAGTTATATTAGTTCAAGTATAATTAAATAATCAAAGTCACATTTTCCAGTAATGACAATTAAATCTTGACATGGAGCTTACATACCTACATAGAGCCTCCAATGCCTTTTATTTATCTTTTATGCCACTCAAAATAGTTTGGAGACTACTCTAAGATTTTCGTAAAATGACCACCAAATTTTATTATATTTACCTTTTCATGCCACTCAAAATAGCTTGGAAACTAGGGTTTATAGAAGCGGTTTACAAGGAAACGCCATTTTAAATTTATAGAAGGATCTAGGTTTTCCGTTTCTTCGTAGATAGAAGAATGGCAGAGTGGGGTCCGTGGGGAGGAGGATGTTTATGTTGCTTGTTACATAAGAACGTGACGATTAATATCCGATGACAAGAATGATTCAAGACGTACAATTTCTTTTTTTTTATCATTTCAAATACTAACACCAACATAATTTTCATATTATACTTTTGTTTCAATAAGTGTTTTGTTAATTTTGTCCCATTTTAAACAATGATTAATTTTGTTGGAAAAAAAAAAGACCTATGTCTAAAAAAAACTGATATATAAAAAGAGTTTAAAGTTGTCATACTTTGGGTTTGATATATAGAAAAAGTTAAAAGCTGTCATACTTTGGGTTCTTCACGAGGAAGGCTCTCCTTATCTGTCTTGAGTCTTAAAATACAATCCACAACCTTGGACACTTGTTCTTGAGTTGGATACTCCTGTGGCAATACAACTCATATTCAGCTATTCATTGCTTATAATTATAAGATCCAAACAATTGAAATATGAAACATTTATCCAATGGTTTACCTCATGAAGAACATCAGCTTCAAATCATGTAATCTCCAAATCTTCTAAAGCCTGGAGAAAACCATCGATATCTTCCTTACTCTCAAAAAGGTCATTTATCAGTTCAAACTTTCGGGGAATATGAATAATTTGAGAAATTAATTGAAATTTGTATGATTGTTAGTCTTGTATCAAATTTGTATGGATCTCTTATATTCATTTGGAAAACTTTTCTTATCTTAAATATAAAGAACTAAAATGATCTTTTCATGCACAAAAAAAAGCATTATAGTTATGTTGCTTGTTACATAAGAACGTGACGATTAATATCCGCTGACAAGAATGATTCAAGACGTACAATTTCTTCTTTTTATCATTTCAAATACTAACACCAACATAATTTTCATATTATATTTTTGTTTCAATAAGTGTTTTATTAATTTTGTCCCATTTTACACAATGATTAATTTTGTTGGAAAAAAAGACATATGATAGATTTAAGATTTCCTTATTGTTGTGTATGTACATTGAGTTATTGATACTGCGATCACCGAATGATTAGTTTAGGATTAAATATATTTGTGTCTTGGCTTCGTCAGCATCAACCAGTTTTGGGGGTAGAAGTCTATGTGCTTCGTCACGTTTCTTGAGTTGTCTAGTCTACTTAGAGGATGACGGTGAAAGCAAATTTTTCTGGGACTTCGTCTTGCTGCTTTGTAGTACAGGCGACATTGGGGATGATTGAGTTATTACTCTTAGGAATACTATAGCTTAATTTTTACCTATTTTATTTGACCACTTTATTACTCAATTCGACTCCAGGTTGAAGGAAAAAAATGGAAGAGCAATTGTTT